TCAAAAAAATTTTTCTTTTTTCCCAAGGTCAACGCTTAAATATGGATCAAGTCGAACATTAATTAATTTTTTCCTTTTTTTTTTGTACCCCACATCACTGGTGGTACCGTCTTTCATTATACCGACCGATTGAGAACAACTTCGGGAATCGAGTTAAATTTGTCTGTCCGTCTTGATTTTGATGTGTTTAGCTTATAGATCGCACTTTTTAAGATATTTTGACGAAATTTGATATATCAACGTGCTTCGGCCTAAATACGAAGATGATTGAAAATAGTTCGAATCGGTCCAATTTTGCGATCATTTCCTATATAACGCCTTATTTTGAAAAGCTCTTCCATGACTAAGTGAGGAATGGTTTAGGGTATTTAATTGTCGGCCGTGGCCCACTATTGTGTTTTTTTTTTTTGTTTTTTATGTAAATTTAAAGCAAATTGCAGCTGTGTTTGTTTAGTGAACAGAAAATTTTTAGTTGTTGTTGTTTTTTATTTTTTTTTATTTTACGGCATTTATGGCATTTTATTTGTCAAATTTTCATCCCTAGAAGTATGATGTTTATACGCATAGCTTTCCTGAACTCAACGGGCTCTTTAAATTTTAATTATTAACTTGCATCAACTTTTTACGCATATACTTTAAAATTGAATAAAAATATACTATCATCGTCTCTCGTCATTTTTAATTAAAAATACATCTGCTCTTTGAAAAAACTCATACTGCACAGGTATAAAGGTAATCTAGCCGGCGCAAAATACTAAAGTTCAAAAATAACAACTATAGAGCAAAAAAATAAAAAAAAAATAAAAAAAATATTAAGCCTTCAAGAGGTTAAAATGTGCACATTCATCTCAGCTTATACTACTATGTACTGTAGTTTCGAATGAAAGCTTTACTATTGTATGCAATCCTTCATCTTTCATATTAAACATATTTCCCGGACTATGTTTAAATCTCATACGGTTTTCGTTTTTCTTTTTTCCTAATTTAGTGGCGTGTGTCTGCACGTCCAAGTGTATATGAGTAGAATATAAATTTAGACAAAAATAAAGTAGAAAAAAAGTGTATTACAAGCACATAAAATGCCATTAATTATAACACGTTTCAAACTCATTTAACACGTCTAGCAATAAAAACAGACGACTGACAAAAAGTGCTTTTTCTTTTTCTTTTTTTTTTCTATTTTTTTTTTTTTTTTTTTTGTTCCTTTTCCTTGTTTAGTAGTTAGTTTCATATTAAGTCAAACGCATACATGCAAAGAACCATAAATTATGTAATGTGATTTTTATTGTTTATGATGTTTTGACATATTAGAGCGAATGAGCAAACGAAAGCTACAAGAGCATTCATCTTATAACAACGACTTATGAATGCCCAACAGGCTGAGATAATCTCCCTAACAGAGGTCAACTTTATGTATGTTTTTACTTTTTGATTGAATTAAAATGATTGATTCATCTTTACATGAAAATATATTTTCGATGTGCATTGAATAAATATCCCAATTAAATCGATTGATGTTTGCTTTAGTTGTGAAAAGAGATCGGAAGCGATCAAGCATCATCTTGTTCAATGCTTTAATTTTAATTGCTTGCTATTTTCTAAATGATAAGCAAGAAGAAGAATAGAAAGACTATAAGTCGTATGGAAGATGCATTGCCTTAATTTACCCAATCATTGTTGGCAGCGCACTTCATAAAAGCCGCGAAATGTACTCAACCGTTTATATCGATGTTTTCACGGACAATAAATTGATTTCGAGACAACGTAAAATACTTTTTACCAAAACTATTTCACACACATCGTCCTAATATCCTTTATTTCCTCGTCCGCACACACGCAGGTGATATTATATTTACGCCCAAATGTTTGACATGAACACACATCGTTCAGATTGCGCACACAAGGATTAGCATGCGCTGGCGCATAACTGCAAGGTTTAGTTGGAAGAAGCACGTTGACATAAACAACGTGAACCTTTCGCAATCCTATGTCGACTATGTGTCGACAATGTCTTCTCTACGCCATCTTCTATGCCGTCTTAGTGTCAACAATTGTTAATTAAGCGGTTAGGGGCAAGTAACAAACAAGTTAATTAAGTGCTAAGCCTAGATTTGTAGTTAAAGTATTACCGCAATCAAGCGATTTTTGTACTTGATCAAGAAATGATGACAATTGAGAGTGAGATCTCGATTTGATGTAAATATATTAAAAGTAATTCATGAACAGCTAGATCTTATCAAAATAAAAAAAAAACCCCGTGAGGCGACTCCCATATCAAGTTCCTAGGACGGATATAATCCTTTGTTAACACGACTTCATTCATTATGCTATAAAAAAAAAAAAAAAATCTAGAGTTTAACTAGTAAGCCATGATCTTAATCGTGTCATTTAGCCCGAAATTGAAATGCGCTCCAATTTAAAGCCTGACTAATGAATGCAAGAAATCCTTTACAGTGGTTAGGATAAATTAGTTACTAGTATCAGTCAACTAATCTTTTGTATTTGTTTGACTAGCTCTTTAGGGAATATTCTCTATACCTTGTCTCTTATACACATACATATATGGCTCTTCAGGGAATGTCCTCTACCGTCTTGTCCCTTGTACACATACGTACACATATGGGAAAGTAAGCAAACAAGAAATCGTTATCTTGATCGACTTAACTTGCATGGGTCACATACACATGACTTTGAATCGAAGTAGCAAGTGTAAAATATTCGTCTTAAGCCGATTGCAAATTTTTCTTTCTCATCATCTATCCTTACTATTAAAACATTCGTTACGCATTTTGCTGTTGCTCTTGTTCAGTTAATTGCCTATAATTTTCTTCTTTTTTTTTTCTTATGCTAATAATAATAATAATGATAATCATCACATTACTGTTGTTGTCATATCACTGACGTTCACTTATTAATATATATATATATATGTAGACTTTCGCGTCTCACCAGTAATCTCTTTTATTTTACATATTTTAAAGAAGAGAAGCATGAAGGAAAATCGTTATTTTTTTAAAGAGAATCTGCGTTATTTAAACGTGGTATGCTTGCTTGGCTATGTAATGCCAGCAGCTTAATTTAGTAATAAATACGACAATTATTTTATATGTATGTTTAGATATAATTACATATTTAATTGTATGTCTACAAAGTGGTATGTACAAATAGTATGTCAGTTTTAATTATCCTGTCAGAGCAACAGCAAGAGCAAAAGCAAGACAGACAGACAGACAGAGAGAGAGAGAGAGTATAGAGACTTAAAGTGTCGGTTTTAACTTTTTCATTAATAGACAATTTTCAAGACATTTTCTAGACAGTAAGTTAGCATATGTTTTATCGTACAAAATATTACAGTGACGATGTGTATATACAAAATTGTTTTAACTAACTGCAACGATTGCTAGCTACTACTAGCATAGAACCCTATGAAATCTTTGTCGACAAATTACTTTAAACTCATACATATTTCTTAAGACTAAGAGGCCTGATTACAAAGTCAAGAAAGATTTACTTATTTTATAAGCTTGTGAGTAGGATATGAATGAAGCCATTTCACTGCAACAAGGAAATTTTTTTTTTTTTAAATTTTTTGCAATGAAGGCAGGGAGAGTATTAATTGTAATTTTCTTAATGAGTGTGTGCGATTTTTATTTTAATTTTCTTTTGATCAGTCCGTCTTAGTAAGTGTTTTTGGAGTTCTTAAAATTGTGGAAATTGAAAGCAAATGCTAATATATTTTACTTTTACTTGCTTTCCATAAATTCGGTTTCAAAATATTTATTATATCAGTAACATATATATATGTATATATATATATATATATGTATACGGGATCGGGCGGTAATGTATAAAAAAATCAAAATATTCTCCAGAAAATACTAAGTAAGAGATAAAATATTATCTTGTAGGTGAAAAAGTAAGTTAATCGGAAAACATCGCTTTGTTTATGGAATAGAGTGAGATTTTGTCTTTAGGAAAGTATGGTAAAAAGAAAGTATAAAGAAAGAGGTTCGCTGAGCAGAAAAAAACTAACGAAGCACGAACGATGACACAATGTAATGATTCATTATCAATATGCCATTGCCGTGTGATGCTAATATCGTAATCGTTAACGATTCGAAGACCAACCGTGAATTGAAGACACAAAGACACAAATAATTAGGTCTTTATGGAATGACAATTTTCTTACTTTCAATATTTATAAGCACTTGACATGTAACATCGTTACATTTAACTAAAATTATAAATGCATACTATATTTGCGGACAAACAAAGCAAACCGCAGCTTCCGGATATACAGGCGAATTTTTTTCCTTTATTCAAATAATTTTAATCAAAATTATATACGTAAGCGCATAGAAATTATTATAATTTATCTGATCCTTACTCCCCAGGTGGTCATAAAAGGGGTTTTCAAAATAAAATGAAATTTTCTAGGAATCTGTTTTACTTATAAATATATATATATACATATATATTTAAGAATGTATAAATTCAAGTTAAATTTGTATAAAATATTTTATCTTTTATTTAAGGCAAATATATTGCATGAATATGTACAAAAGAACCAAATATTGATCAAAAGGGAGCAAAAATTATACTTTGTTTAAAATAAAAAAAAAATAAAAAACCATATATAATATATTCAAATAAAAGTCTACGATAACGTACAGGAAGGGATACCAAGATATATATATATATATATATATAAATAATTCAAATTGATGAAATATTCATGAGTACATGTCCTAATTCTTTTGCTTATCCAAAAGTTTAAAAGAGAGAGACCCAGCAAAGGTAACTGATGTCTTTTTCGTTTTTTTTTTTTTGTTTTTTTCTTTCTTTCTTTTCCTGAAAAATAACATAATTCTGCCATTTGCCGGTATTGATAATTTTTTTGTCAATCAAATAGCAGCAGATAGACGTAACTGAATCTGAATCTGCTCACTTAGACACATGAGAATATGTAGAGAAAGAATTACAAGTGTATATATACATACCTTTAGAAAACTGTGGGTATAATTTACTTTTCCTTTGTAGGTCAGATGGTATGCCCGATTGTGTTAAGGTATCGTCATCGTCAATCGGAGAAATACCAGCATAGAAGTTTGCTTGTGCTCTTCATATAACTTTTATAGTTTGTGTAACAATGAAAATGGAAGTATCTATGGGAAAAAATGATAATAAAAAACAAGAAAAAAATGAAAAAAAAACCCATGATAGAATTAACAAAAATTATTATAACAAAAATTGATATGAAGCATACAATCGATACAATATGTTAGTATGTAACTGATGGAATATCAATGGACTACTACTCCAGATTGCAATGTACGACGATGGGAAGCATGAATTTTCGTTCTACATATACGTACAAATTTGCAACCTTTTCAAACCACGCAAGCCAGCCATTTAACTATTGAAGGAATTTCTCATTCCGAAATAACTTTTAATTCACTTAAAATATATATACACACATATATATATATATATATATATGTGTATAGATATGTGCATATCTATCGTATACACATTTGGATAATAGAAAAATTTTTCAAATTTCTTGAATATCTCTCTCTCTCTCTCTCTCTCTCTCTCTCTCTCTCTCCCTCTCTTTTATTATAACTAAACCGAGATCGTTTTCAAACAACAACGCTGGGCTGTTGCCCTTTTTTCTTTCATTTTCTTTAATGTATACAACAAACGTCTTTCTAGTTGGAACAACAAGCAAAGTGTTTTATTTACAATGGAGATTACGGTACCATATACCATCATTATATATCCATATATATATATATATGAAATGGCCTTTTCATAATTATTTCTGAGGAATTATGACCCAATGATGCCAATAGTCTATAAACTATACGAAAATATATAACTCTCTCAGGTAATGTGGCCGTTAAGTATATCAGAAATGTTCCTCAAGAGAGTCGCTTGGCCCCAACGACTAATCTTCGCGACCTGTTCGCCTATCTAAAATTCTTATATTTGCGGATGATTTCTATTAACCTCATGCTTCATGCTGATGGACTGCAATCTAATTTGACGTCTTTCTATGACTGGTGTTCTGTCAACAGTATATCATGTAATTTAAGCAACTGCAAGAAAATGCCAATCTATTGGGTGTCTTCACAGCCTACTTGTTATTCTCTGCTGGAGAATGCAACTTGCTTTAAAGGTATGGATATGTTATTTCATTCCAGACTTAAGTTTAGTCTTCGCATTGGGTTTTCCGTTAAGAAGCTTTATTAAGAAATCGGCTAAAGAATTGAATCACTCGTATATTTGCAAACGTCTATACACTGCACTTGTTCCCCCATTTTTGCATTATGCTGTCGTTTTGTAGACCTTTTGTCAAATTGATCTAATTGAGTCTGTTCAAAGCAATTTTCTTCCCTTTCATTGATCGATATCAGTGTTTCGAGTCGATCTGTATGCCAATATAATCCTTTGAGAGTCTTTCTCTCTCTCTCTCTCTCTCTCTCTCTCTCTTTAGTCCGTTTAACTAGGCTTTATAACAAGAATTACTATCGCTTTGATCAGTTTGCTGATCCTATCAGCATAAATGAAAACATACTGTTATATATATATAATGCACATTGTAATAAACTGAAAATGTATTTTATAATGAAGTGTTACCGTCATGCTGGGTAATATAAATAATTAATGGTCACTATACGGTTAGACTGTTTCTTATGTTGTTATTATTATTATCAAAAGTAGTATTAGCTTAAAGGTTAAGTTGTTGTTGTAGTTATTGTAGTTTTTGTTTGGAATATGGTTGAATTAAAATAAAATAAATTAAAATTGTTCAATTGACGAAACCTGCTTTTTACAGAAACTATCTCCCTCATATTAGAGGTGAACAGAGATAGACTGGACGGGGCCACCGGTTTGCGAAGCCGTGACTAAAGATGGCTCAGTTCCATTTGTAAAAATAGTTAAGTGTTAGAACTCTTCTTCTTTTTTTGTTCCCTATGCATCCGTAGTCTGATCTGTCGTGTAAGCTTTGCCTTCGCCCCAACTTTTGTTGCCAAGTTGACTGCTTACAGATCGCAACTTTTGAGATATTTTGATGAAACATATTACATCAAAGCATATTGTCTCAAGAATGGAAACATCAGACTAACTTTTCGACTCTTTCCCAAATAGCAACTTCTTTTGGAAAGTCGTGATATGAACAACACTGCATTAAGCAAAGTTGGGTGGGGCGCTTTTACTTGCCTTAATTATTTTAGATTCGCGTGAGAAAAGAAATTTAGATCAGAAAACGCATTTACGTAAACAAGGCAATTTGTACGAACTAAAAGCAAAATTACATAACAAACAATTCGTAAACAAAACTATTATCGAATAAGTGAGCACTTAGTTATATGTAGAACACAAAGCCTATATATGAACGTTTAACAAATTATGGGAAATAAAATGTCCTTATAAATAAGACGTAATATCGTGCGTTTTAATTTCTTTAATTATTTACAAAATGCTACCCAATCGCACAAAAATATTATAAAAAATTTATACGATTTCTGATATACTGAATATCTGTATCTGTATTGCTTTATGTTGCGGTCAAAGCCTATGCGACATGTATGCTTGCTTTCTTGATGTTCTATTTCAACTTATAAAACCCTTGATTACTTCGATTTTATAAAATTGAATTTAATCATATCTCTATAAATATTTAAAATTTTAAAGAAATATATTAACAATTTGGATAGAGTTTCGATTTTTTTTTCATTGTTCGACTTTTTAGGCATCGAAGTTTATAGACTACAATAGGAAATTTTTAATTTTTAATATTCCTATATATGATTGTAAAAGGTTCAACGACATATCCCAATCGAAGGGGTACGCACAGTTCGATTGAAACGGTAATATATATATAAATATATATTAGCTATACAACTGAGGTAGCTTTACAACTGAGATCGGCCTATATATAACTAGGAAGGTAGGCTAAGGTAGATTGAAGTGTATATATATATGTATGTATAAGTAGCTATATGACTGAGATCGGCCTATATATATACACATATAAAAAATTTTTTTGAACTTATTTTAATCGAGCTATCAGTATAGGCCGATCTCAGTTCTATGGATACCTGTGACGGGCATAATAACAAAATTGGTTATTGGCTTATAATTCAATTAAAAGTAACTTAAAAAAAGTGTTGTAACTGGTCAATAGGTCATTGCATAACCGAAGTGTATTATTAGCCTAAATTTAAATTCAAATTACAGTCAAAATTCAACTAAAACGGTCTCAGTAGATAAAAAAGAGAAAGAGTTATAAACAAAATGCGTATATAATGTCGTAAGGCATTCACCAATAAAAAAAAAAAAGGAAAAAATTTAAAATCCCTAAAGATTTAATAAGCATTAGTAATCTATACCTTTCAAATAAAAATCTGCTTATTGGTAAATTGCCTAAATTAAATGCTTCAGCTTAAGTGATTCCTTTTCTATTTCCTTTCGTTACACAACATCAATTACTTTGCATGCACGAATAAATAAAAATGGGAAAAAATTCCCCTTTTCTCTACTCAATGGAACCAAAAAAAAAAAAAAAAAAAAAAAAAGGAAAAGGAAAAAAAAAAAAAAAAAAATAAATCCAATTGTAACATACCGACGGTTTGTCTTCTTCTTCTTTTTCTTCTTCTTCTTCTTCTTTTTTTTTTTTTTCTTATACGTTACAACTTTTGCTTTTCGTGCGTTTCTTCTCGTTTCTACTTTTTCTTATGGTAATTTCTTAGCATTCAAATGATTGACTGCATGCTAGTGACTTCAAAATATGCTAGTGTCTGTGCGAACATATATACATGTACGATCGTATCCACTATACATACAACGTATACATGTAACGTAATGTGCGTGCACATACATATACATACGTACTTCCATATATGTACGTGTTTGCCGTCTTTTTGCCAGCAATTTATTTTCAAACATTACATAGCATTAGGGAACGTTTATCTGCTCTGCCTTATGTATGCGTATGCGTGTAAACGTTAAAGTTTTGCATTCGCTTTTTTTTCCTTGCTTTTACCAGAATTTCGATTTAAAAGGATTTACGCGCACTTTCTTATCTATACGCTTACTCTCTCACTCGTTTTTCCTTAAAAATACATACATATATCCAGGGTTCATATACGCGCGCATAAAATTTTAAATTTCACACAAATTTTGGATAAATTTTGTGTATTTATTTGTATTACTGTTTCTTCGTTAATTGTTTGAAATGCATTTTAATTTTGGAAAAACAATATATACATATACACATAAAATACGAATATGAACGTGAAGGCCAGAGCTATACAAATTCGTATTCAATAGTTAAACGAAAATTCACATCGTTTACGAATAAATCTTGATGAGTCAATTTTTGTAAAGAAAGATTTATGTAATAAGAAAAATTGAATGTCGTCCATGTCGGTGCCGGTCTGGTCTATGACAAGCATGCATATATACCGTATACCAAAGGGCTACGTACGTCGCAAGCTCATAGCTCAAAGTATGTTCAAAACAAAAGCATGTGAAAGAGATTGAAAAACAACTGACTTCACACTATTACAAGCAAAGTATTCGAATAAGTAGCTAATATGAAATGAAAGCAATTGTAAAGCCAAATCACCTAACCTAAGAAATTACCATACAATTCTGTACTACTTTTCGAGAAAGCGATTATGAAAGTATATGCTGCGCGAAGCATTGTAAGCTTTGAAACGAATATTAGCATCACTAAGACGTTATGGATATTCTGCCTCAATCGACAGGGAGTGCACACGTTTTCATTACTTTTCCTTTTTATTCTCAGGTGAATGATGTCTAGGTAGTCAAGAGAATGTATGTAAGTTAAATGAATTGAAAATTTCTTGATAAAATTACTTATTTTACTCATCTTATCCACGAAAGTACTCGCATTATGAATATCATCAGATCAGAAGGATGGTAGCACTAGTTATACGCATCGCAAATCATCGAATGAAACGAATAGTAATCAGAAACAGGCACTTGAAGTAAGCAGAAAGGCAAATGTGACCAGCCGCACCCACTCCCGCCCCTTTCAATGCAGGAGAAGACATATAGGTCCCATTTCATCCCTGCTCATCCTTTTCCGATATGTTCAATTGTAGGCAATTGCTATTGGTAAAGTTGCACAATTAGAGTAACGTAAGTTACAGCGGCGTAAAACACATTATTGACTGAAGCTGACAAGTGCACCACGGGTAGTCGGTATCTTCATAGATGTTGTTGTCTTGGTCTGTAACATATCCTACATTTTCCTACGGCTCAAGAGTCAACAGCGCTTTCCTTCATCTTAACAGTCTCTTAGCGCACAGTAAGAGAGACAAATGGCCCTTTTTTTTTATTGATGGCAATGTAGAATGATCGCCAACTTTTAATGTTTTTGCCATGACAACAGAAACTGGCGTTCATTGGACAAAACATATGTTTGACTCGGCGAAAGGCATAGTCAAGGGCTTAAGATTCTTAAAACGATGCTAAAAATACTTCACCACACCCGATCTACACTCCGGCCAAGGCTAGAGTGCTATTCAAATTTCTGCTTGGTAGCTTCTACATATGATGAGTAAAACGTCGATAACCATTATTATTAGTTATGATATCTTTCACTTAAGTATATGACTTGGAACACTGAAGCATCTTTCCGATTATTAAGGGAACTGGTGACACTGACGGCTTCAGAGCAAACAAATCTAGCGGTTAGCTGTCATAGCGCTGGATAACCTTCCTAAACGTAAGCATTGGATCACCTTCAGCTCGTAGCTACCAAATTTTTTCAAACAGAAATAGTTGATAGCAATTGTGGAAGCTTAGGGGAATCATCAATTTTTTTAAAAATATTGAGGTTTTACTGATTAAAAGGTCAAATATCCGTTAAGTCAAATATCTTTAGCTTCATCTAAGATAGTGCGACTAATTGCTAGTCGCTAACGTTTGGCTTTGAGGAAATGTGTTTATGAATAACAGCCAATCGAAGGCTTAAAGCAAGCTTCACTTCATCCTACCCTGAATTGAACGCTTGCTATATTGCATTGAATACAACCCGTATCTCAAATTCCGCTTTCCGATGTTCCTCTGAAGCCACTCTACGACAATAAGATTTCTTCTTCACAATTTAATATAGAAATTATTTTGTGGTTTTATCAACTGCACTGTAAGATTGATTTAATATTATAATCGTTTGCAAACAACAAAGTTAGAGTAACAAATAGTAAGTGAGCTAAAGCAAGTTAATTACAAAAATATTGAACTAATTTCTCTTCATTGCTGAAAGTGAAAGGCATTCACAAAAACATTTCATATATTCTCGTTTCAACAACAAAAATAAAAAAAAATAAAAAAAAATAAAAAAATGCAGTCATGGCAGACATAATAATTAAAATAAAACATAACAATAGCTATAAAATCAGTTGTAATTTACATTTAAACGAGAAGAAAGGAGGGAAAAATGAAATAAAACAAAATCGTAAATTGTTAGCAAAAAAAAAAAACAGAAGAAGAAGAAGAAAAATGCAACAACTGAATGAAATAAATGAATGAAACAAAGAGAACCATATAAAATAAAGTATACTGAAATCATATGTAGAAAAATTGGTGTGTTTTTGCTGACAAAAAAAAAAAAAAAAAGAAAAATTAGTAACAACCACAACAATACATAGAACAAGAAATAAACTGCATGCAGTGTTATAGCAAATTTGCGGATAATTCTTCTGGTTTTGTTTTGTTATGTGGCAACGAATCTGCGTGCATATGCATATGCATTTAGCTGTGTGTGTGTGTGTGTGTGTGTGTGTGTGTGTATATATAGATGTGTATATGAGCCCAATACACATAGCACGACAGCCTTACTTACTTACATGTTGATTCTATGCTGTGAGAATTGAAAGCTGACTTTGTTGTGTATGCGAAGCATAGCAACACAACAACAAACAAACAACAAATTG